CATTGCAATGCTTGTCATTCTTAAGAAAAGACGAACCAATGCCCTTGTCATTCTTAAGAAAAGACATACCGTAACTTGTCGTGTTCACAAGTCAAATTTCAAGATTGTAATAACAGAAATTGAATGATGAGAATTCTTTTACTTTTTGGTAAAATTTGACATTATGTTTGGATGAAACAGTGAAGTAATAGTTCGAAAGTGGTTTGTGGTAAAACGAATGCATCGCCATATTTATGATATGATAAAGTGTAAGCCACTCTTCCTCCTGGAACAAAAAAGAACAAAATTTCCCATGGCCTATAAGGATTTACCGCAGTTAAACTCTAGAACTAAAAAATAAGAAAAAAAAAAAAAGAAAGAAATACCTCTTAGTACCCATTGAACAAAATTCAAAGATGATTGGTACCAATAAATTGCACATATCTTACTGCCCAAAATGTGTCTCGACTCAAGTTACAACTGCCAGCATCGTTCATATACCCACAGGAACAGAAAGTAAAAATAAGGCAAAAGAAAAACAGCAGAAGCACAAAAAAGAGATCCCAACTTCTGAATCGAAAGCCAACAACAAACCTCAATAACCACCCTTGAGATCGTTGACCACATCATAAGGAATGGGAGTTACAGTTTCTATGGTGGCACCTTCCACCATAAAACCGGGCTTCGGTCCTTCTGGCTTCCTCTTCGTGCTGATAATTTTGCCCTGTGATTTTGCCTCCGCCTTCAACTGGTCGTTCTTTTTTATCCTCAGCAGAAACTCCTCATGGCACCTCGAGGGCTGAACATGCTCAACACGAGCGTGTATCCTCTTTCTTATGATTCTGTTGCCAACCTTCATTTACAGAATAGAAAGAGAGTCACCACTATATAGTTAAGCCAGCTATTTTCAGCAAAACTAATATACAATCATGGATGCAATAATTAATATAAGGTATATGAAATTACCACAAGTCAATAAATGTACTAATCATTTTTTTTTTCAGTATATCTCAAATCAACACATGAAACAGTCAAATGAAGTTCTAAATACATAATGATGAGATGATTACTGGGGAACAAATATGCATTGGACGATTGAGTGCTCTTACAAGAGAGACACACATAAGATGTCACCAGTCAATCAACTGTAGCTACAAAGTAGGAATGTATCAAGCTACATTGTAAATTACCATTCCAGTTATAAGTTAACAGCAGGGCAATCTCATCAAATGTCAGCCATTAATCGGAAACTATTCTACATCATTGACTTCAAAGAATCACCAAGTGTTTCGAAGTCCAACACACAGCTCCAAAACATATTGCTATGAAATTATGTAGGCTTTCAGCAACTGATTTGACCTGTCCCTGATTATAATCACATCACTACTTTCAAATGTGCACGATAATCACGTATCACGATTTACCAATATCAAGTTAAATTATTACAACCCACGTTACTACGTTGATCTACAAGTTCATATCTTGTTCAAGCAAAAACATTCTGGATTCAAATTTGTGGCCCAATTCAACACTGTGATACAAGCCATATCTACACAAGCAAATACCCGGGAAAATGAAATAAATAAAACAATAAAGTATTATTTCACTTCAACTCACATAAAGCTCCAAACATTAGACACTAAACTACAGTGCTTCATCACAAAAACAAGTAAATGACTGAAAAATGCAGGTACAGATGTTCGATACCTGCTTGTTGACTTCAACCCCGATAGCCCGCTTGGTAATGTTCCAGACGCGTCCTGTGCGGCCATGGTAGAACTTGTGGGGCATACCCTTGTGGATCGACCCGTTCACCTTCACATCGACATAGTCGCCGATTTTGTATGCACGAAGGTACGTGGACAAGTGGGTAGGACCCTTCTTCCTGAACGGCCGGGCGAACAGATCCCTGGTGCGCGCTCTCAGGCCGTGACCCGCCGGCATTTTGTAGTGTTTTTCAGCTGTGAATGTTCAAGCTGTGTGTGAACTGAAGCCTGAAGGTGAAAAATGGGGCGAGCCTTAAACAGCAGGATTTTGGAAGAGGAAGATGGCTTATATACGATTGAGGATAGGGTTTTAGCTTTTAGACTGGGCCAGTGTGATGTGGACCGTGTTATGGGCTATTTACTATTAAGGCTTCTTTTGTTCTTAAGAGTGTGAACTTTGGCCCAATGTTCAGCAAGTAAAAGGTGATACTTTTTTTATTTGTTTAGTGAATGATTCTGAATTAAAAATTAAATAATAAAATTAAAGAGAAATTTTATAGCTTGATTCTTAATTTTTAGCTATTCCCATTGATCATCAACTAGTACGAATCCCGTGCGATGCACGGGTTAAAGATATTCATTAATATTTATAAATCAAAAATACATTAAATAATGTTTATAAATTTAAAATATAGAGTCAGTATGTAATACAATTTACTTATATTAATTTATTAAAACAGTTATATGAAATTTAAATTTTACAAATTAAATAAAACATGTCTATTTAAAATTAGTAAACAACTCGTATTGTGCACACTTTACATTTTATTCATTTCAAAGTAATTAATCTCCATAATCTAATTCATTATTCATTCAGTCGGACCGAAAATAATTTAACAGACAATGCTTGTTTTTTAGTTTAGATTAATTTTGGTTTGAATTTGAAAGCTTTTATATTTTATGAGTCAAATGCTCAGATGTGGACGTAATGAGGGTCATGGTAGTTGAAGGTTGTTATGGAGGACAGCATTATGCAGGTCTGCGGCCTCAGGGGGTAGGGGCAGGTGGCCAGAGTTCTTGTTTTCCGGCGGTCGCCAAGGGAGCAGTAGCGAGAGGCAGGAGTATAATACTGGTGGCGACGTAACCTTATATATTTAGCATTTTTTTCCAAAAAATTTACGCGAAATATTGAAATGGCAAGTTTTCTTACGTTATTTTGCGTTATTTCACGTTATTATGCGCTACATTGCGCTCTATTTCTACAACGACATTTGAACATTAAAATATTCAAAAAATCGTATTTCATAGGGATCAGAGTCATATTTACAAATGACAACTAAAAACTAAAAATTTGGATAATGATTTCAAATTAAAAGTTTGAAAATGCATAGTCCTAAGTTGAATGGTGCAATATTTATCTGTTCATTTTTGTTATATCATTTTATTTTTTGATATTTGACATTTAAATAGAGAATAAAAAGTTCATATTTGGTTAGAATTAAGTTGTAGTTAAATACAAAATTAATAATTAAAATACATATACTTAAAATTATACTATGACTTACCACATTATATTTTCGTTGTTTGTTTTTACTTTTTTGTATATTCGACTTATTATTTAAATATTTAAATAATGATGATGTTCACATTAAATATTTATGAGAAATAATCCTTAGGTGTTATTTCTTAAGTCATTCAAATGCTATGATAATTTTTGTAATCAACAATCTAATTTTATTATATGCAAATATATTTGTAATATTTCTATTAAAAAAAACCCTCAAATAGCTTACGCAACACACAACACTATTTACGCTACGCAGTATAAAGACCATAATGCGACGCATTACGCTATACGCGTTTTGAAACAATGAACAAAACACATAAATACAACTAGAGAACAACTAGAATAAGCCAAGCAGTTATCTAGCTGAATCTAGGGAGACTATCACGCGGCGGGCGTCAAGAGACTACTCTAACTCACCCACAATACACACAACTAAACAAACTAAACTAAACAAATCCCACGAGATATAATTCAACAAATCCCACGAGGGATGATTAACTCCTATATAGGAGAATAACCATGAAAAAACACTCAATACCATAACACAAAATAAACACCTAGATAACACTCAAAACAAACACCAACAAAACATAACACAAACACATATTAAATTGAATAACACCCTCCTCTCCCCAGGCGAGACAACCCGCAACAAACCGCGGCCCGACACCTAGAGGCAACTGCC